CATATTCATATTAAATAAGACTTCTTCCACTCACACGTTGCTTCCCTTTTTTAACACACACACTCACACATTTTGCCATCGGTAATTGCCTCGGAAAATTACCCACTACTTGAGATCTGATAGTAACTATTTCATATAAGCAATTTATCGATAAGATATATCCGTTAGTAATCTATCAAAAATTTGATATTTTTCATGGATTTATTGGTTTCTGTAATTAATATCAATTTTTCTTATAGTACTTTAGTGGTTCAAGGAGACTTTCATATGTTAAATAAAAAAAAAAAACTTTTTTAAAGAAAAACTAATTGAATAAAAAAACACGAAGGATCAATTTTTGGAGTTTACATATTGTTTCTTTTTAGTTCATTTTTAAATTCAGTCAAACTTCTGATTGAAAATAAAAGGTGTAGTTGAATTAATTTAAGTGTCTATTCATGCTAATACACAAAAATTATTTTATATAAATAAATTAAAATAACAACATGGAAGAACAACATTACAAACAAATATGGATCGATCCTCTAGAGTTTGGAATCCTACTACACCATGCACTTATAATCGAACGTTACATCATATTGAAAAGAAAAGAAAAAAACTATATATGTTTTATTTCAGGGAAAATTAAAATAAATATTTCTAAGGGTTTAGACCTTTGCAAGCAAAATTTCAACTACACAGAATCTAGACCCTGAAAATTAACATTACAATGAAATATCAGAAGAAATGTGGTTTATTATAAGCGACTAATGTTCTTCTTAAACAAGCTTCCCATGGCCATTGCCTTCTCCCTCAGAACATACTTCTGCGTCTTCCCAGTTGAAGTCTTTGGCAGATCATGAAACACCACAGTTCGAGGAGCCATAAACCGAGGCAAAACCGTATAATCTCTTCCGATGTAGCACTGCACCCTTCCTTGAGCTTCACAAATGCACAAGGTGTCTCTCCCCAGTAATCATCAGGTCTCGCAACAACAGCAACTTCATAAACTGCAGGATGACTGAAAATCACTGCTTCAAGCTCAATGGAGCTAATAATTTCACCCCCTGAGATTATAATATCCTTTGACCTATCCCTGAGTTCTATGTACCCATCAGGGTGCTTCACTCCCAAGTCACCACTCCGATACCATCCACCGCTAAATGCATTTTCTGTTGCCTTCAAGTTCTTCAGATATCCACACATCACAGTGTTGCCTCTGCACATCACCTCACCGATGCTTCTTCCATCCGCTGGAACACTCTTCATTGTGCGAGGATCCTTAACGTCCAGTTCTTCCATTCCAACGTGGAGCATTCCCTGACGTGTCTTCAGTTTTGCCCTTTGATCTCGTGACAGATTGTCCCATTCTGGTTTCCATAAGTTAACTGCTGCTGGACCATACACTTCTGTGCAACCGTATGCATGAGTCACATCAAACCCTAGCTCTTCCATCCTGATTATCACGTCCGGCGGGGGCGGTGCCCCGCCCGGCATCCC